AGAAGGAGAAGGAGAAGAAGAAAGAAGAAGAAGAAGAAGAAGAAGAAGAAGAAGAAGAAGAAGAAGAAGAAGAAGAAGAAGAAGAAGAAGAAGAAGAAGCACATAATGTGTTGCACACCTGCTATGTACCTGGTGCCTTTCTGGTCCCTGAGGATACAGCAGGCTTTGGAGACAAATAAAATCCATGTTAGAGCTAACGAAAGTTCCCATGCCTGCGGCCCATGAATTAGGTAGTCACTTTGTATGAATAGGAGATTTTAACCTGGGCTAGTATGTGCCATATCATGCTCTGAGGCTAACCTTATTTTCATTTGTTTGATAGGTGGGGCTACTGATTTAATGGCGATAAGTAAAATGTCTGGTTCCCACACCAATCAGAGGAGCCAAGATGCCCCAGGAGGTCTCTTTTCACTCACTGTGAGATATGGGAAGGCAGGAAGCTTTGGGTGGGGCAACCTGGCTTTCTCTTGCAATAGCTTTCCATTGGCCAGGACCTTCTCCCAGGGCCATGTGGATTTGCCACCAGACTTTGGGAAGCTGCTGCTCAGCACGTGACAATCTGGCGACACCAACATTGATGAGTAAGGATGGCGCATGGAACCTACCACGAGGCTCTTTGTTTGGTTGACAAGAAGTATGAATATAGCAACAAATTTTAATCATTTGCCAAGATCTAAAATTTTTTACATAAACGTTTCCTTTTAGAACTTTTTTTTTTTTTTAACATTTACAGAATATTGTGTCAATAGTACAGAGCGTTCCCTTATTCCTCCCACTGTTTTCTCTGCTGGTAACATCTTAATTAATATAACACATTTGTCACAATTAATGAGCCAGTATTAACTAATTATTATTAACTAAAGTCCATGCTTCATTCAGATTTTCGTAGGCCTTTCCTAATGTCCTTTAATTTTTTCTTTTCTCTTTTCAGTTCAGCAGCTGATTCAGGATATCACTCTATGTTTTTAAGCCTTCTGGTTGCAGTGCGCACTGTTCTTGTTTCTGATGGCCTTGACAGTTTAGGAGAAAGCTGATCGCTTGCACTGGGGAATGACCTTCCATTGGGTGCGCCCCGTTTTTCCTCACAGTGGGTTTGGGATGCTATGTCCTAGGGAGGAGGACCACAGGTAAAATGTGCTCAGCGCATCATACCCAGGGTGTGCACAGGGAAGGCTTTTGGCGCTCTCCACTGGGAAAGCACGCTCTTCCTTTTATTATTATTTTATTTATTTATTTATTTACTTGGTGCCGGGTTTCACTACACAGGTCGGACTCATAGTGATCTTCCTGTCTCAGCCTCCCCAGCACTGGGATTACAGGTGTGTGCCCCCACATCCAGTTTTCCTTGGCTAGCTTAGCATGGGGCAGGCATGGCATGCAGATCGAACTCCAATCCTTGTGCTTTCTAGGCAGACACTTAGACCACTGAGCTATCTCCTCAGTCCCTGTTTTTCTTTCTATATTGAGCGCTTTGGAAGAAAGCTACCAGGTATAGCCTGTGCATACAAAGTGGGGGATTATTCTCTACTCTTCATAGGTAGGACGGATACATATATTTGGATATGAATATTTAGAATTCTTCAGCATGGGATGTAGGTTTCCCTCCCACCACCACCTTTATTTACATCCTCTAGACAGACTGACAGCAAAGCCAGCTGTTCATTGCCCGTCTGCTCCCTCCCACCCGTTGGATGTAATCAATGCCGCCATCCCTTGCTCTCTGGGGATGCAGCTTGGGACAGCTGCTAAGTACAGAGGAGAACCTGTGAAATGGGATTGCCAGTGGACATGACTCATGTTGACTTTCGGGCTTGGGTAGTGTCTTCAGTGCAATCTCCCTGTCTGTCCTCTCTAGAGAAGTCTAGAAGGATCGTGGATGTGCGGTGGGGAGTCCAAGTAACTCGAAGACCTGCCAGGTCACATGTCCAGGTGTAGGACAAAGAGAAACAGCACTCAGGGCACTGGCAGCGGAGCACGAGCTCACAGTTGATCTTTGTGTCGTGGGAGCAATAGTGGTGTAGACGGCCTCCAAGCCGGGCTCTTTCTCCCCGCTGCGACAATGGTTCTCTCTATCATTCTAAGTGAGTCCTGCGCAGTGAGCAGGGAGGGTGATGCAGACTAGGAGCACTTGGCACGGAGAAGCTGATGCGGGCCCAAGGTCACCGGTCACTGCTGTGTGGACACCCAGCTCAGTGTCCCTTTCCTCCCTCGGAGCACATCTGTCCACCTCTTGTCAGCCTAGCGGAAGGAGCCCAGTTGTTGTTTACACAAAGAGCAGCAACATTAAACTTGGGAAATTCCCTTCGAGTCCAGGCTTTTAAAGAACATGCCCAACAAACCAATCCACTTAAAATGCAAATTCCACTGACACTAATAAGCAATATATATACACATGCATTTGCACATGCAAATGAGCAGGGAGTGAAGGACTTTCTTCTGCGGCACTCCGTGCATGGCAACTGTGCTCCAGACACTCCACTGGAGTGGAGCCAGAAGACATCTCCTACCTGTCCTTGCCAGTCACGGTCCTTCTGGGGCACTCATCGGACTGCGGTGAAGCACCTGGCGCCCTACAAACCAGAGCACTGCCCAAGTTCAAGGTTCCCATTGAGCCACGTAGTGTGCTATAAGTCACCCACCCCCAAGCCTCTGCTGCTTGGCCTGCTGCTCTTCCTTTATCTGCCTGCTTCCAGGGGCAGTTGGGTCTTCCTGAAAGTCCTTACTCATCAGCTCTTTGCCGTCCTGGACCCGTCTTCAGCATGGAATTCACCACTGCCAGAACAGATCCTCCTCTTCCAGGAGAGCTCCAAGTTCCCAGTGCTTCCCTTTAGAGCATTCCAGATTCCTAGGAGGCATATGCTATTGGGGGATGTTATCATTGGTGTCTGCGGCCAGTGACAAGGAGCAAAAGCCTAACGAGGCTTGGCTAGCCCAGGTCTCAACCAGCAAGCAGCAGGAGAGGGCCTGTGTGGTTGCTGCTTTTTCATTTCATCTTCTTCGGCTGTATTTATTTGCTTATTTATTTTGACTGTTCCAAATGGCAGCCTGTCAATGGCCTTTGTACTTTTAATGGCCTTTTTAAGTGACACCCGGCTCTAAGATTCTCAGATAAACACTGACTTCAATGTAGGTCTTCTGGAGACCAGCAGGGTTCTAGCTCCTTGGCCTCTACTTGAGGATCTCATTTTATCTTTCTCAATGGCCCCCAAGGGGGTTCCTGGAGGGACTGCAATTCTAGGCTGATTTGGGGAATGGACAGAACAACTTCTTCTTCCTCTCTCTGCTCCAAAAATCCAAAACTCCATTTCATACACTGTCTTCAAGAGAGGATGTATCAAATATCAAACTGATAAGAACAGGTACTGCACTTGACCTCAGCATAAAGTGTTTTGTATCCCAAACTTCCCTAGATCTTTTGGGCAAAGGAGATTAAAAAGGCAAAATAAAATGATATGCAGGCATTTCATTTGTGGCCATAATTATATACATCAACATATTGGGAGCTATCACTTGGCAATGGTTTGCATGCTGTTTTACATATCAAAATTTTTTTCTGTCACATGCATTTAAATGTCAGCATGGTATTTCATCACAGGACATGCTGCAGGTTGGCGGACTTCTGTCCCACTAGGTTGTTTCTCAGTGGGTTTTGGCTATAAATAATGTCCTGAGCTCTCTGGGAGGATGAAATAGGAAGAGCCCAAGTTGGAGCCCAGCTGGGGCATCTTAAGGACTTAGCAAGACACTGTCTCAAAATAAAAACAACAACCAAAAAAAAAATTATAAAATGGGCTGGGGATATAGCATAGTGCAGAGGTCTTAGGTTCAATCCCATGTTGAGATGAGGCGCTGGTGATGCTGTTCGGGCAAATGTCCTTCATACTTGTCTGTGAAGTCTTTCCCCTACCCTGGAGCTTTATTGTCAGAGGACCTGCCAGGTGAAGGGCACACTTACAAATGCATCTAGCCTGATTTCACCTTCCCCCTGGCATGCTCGCTCTGGTTTGCACTTCCGCCAGTGGTGTCCCAGTTTCCAGTATCTAAAAGCTGACGCCCACCTGGCCGGCCCCATGCAGAACAAGGCAAGAGTGGCCGTGTCCCCAGCCTCGCTGTACCGTGTCTGTGCCCTGCTTTCTAGACCTGCAGCTCCAGGCACACAGGGGACTCCCAATAAATATCAGTGGCTTATTGAGTGCGAGCACCTTGTCCCCAGCCCTAGCCCACCTCCTGGCACTCCTGGAGCGTAGCTGTCCTCCTTCCTCAGCAGAGGCAGATAACAGATGGCCAGGAGTCCGCCTTGGCCTCTTCTCCCTGTGTGATGAGAGGCCCGATAAATGTGAAGCGAGCGGTAATATTTCCTGAACGCGGGCACCGGCAGAATCCATCATTCCTCTCCATGCAGACTAGGCAAGGAGCTACCCGTGTGCTGAGGGCAATGGCGGGGGAGAGGGGCGCAGAGCCCAGAGTGGGGAGCAGGTGGAAACAGGACAGGATGCTAGGCCAACTCAGTCCCCAGTCACCAATCAGGAACTGGACTTGCCGCTGCCTAGGGTAAAGCTAAAAAATGGAATTTTCTGCACCATCAATTCCTGGCTTAATATACTCACCAGGCAGGGGTGGGGTGGGGGTTGTGGAAAGTCAGAAGAGGGGGGGTAGGGGGAGCCCAGACAGCTGCTACTTGATGGACGTCTGGCAAAACTCACACTCAAACCTCTAGGGAAAGTTCTGGGGCTTTATGGAACTCTGCCCCCCCTTCCCTCCTCCTCTTCCTACCCTTCTGTCCTTGGGCTCATCCTGGGCTCCCAGGGGAGTTGGCAAGATGGCCTACAGCTGAAGGTTAAAATCACTGCTGGAGATGTTGCTTCTTTTACTTTGTCATGGTCACCATTCCTGTGCCCGAAAGACTGAACTGCTTTATTCCCCAAGCTGAGCCCACTGCAGAGGAGGCTGGAGGGGCTGGTGAGGGACTCCCCACAGCCAGGGTCCCAAGGCCAGGAAGAAGTTCCTCCCATTGCCTCTGATGGCCGAAGGCCCTGAGTCGGTCTGTGTGCTGGACTGATTGTGTCAGTGGCCATGGGAATGGCTTCTCTGTGTCCAGGTCCTTCGGCGATGACCCTCTCTACCCTGAGAGTCTCAACTTGGTTGTGTGACTTGCTGTAACCAAAGGGATAGTATCTGTCTTCACTCAAGCAGAGCTCGCCCAAGTTCTTGTTAATTTCCAGCATGTATGCAGTGCATGTATTCTCCCCCTCCCCCGTGCACAAGGCTTTCCCCATAAAAGCATGCCTGTGCCAGCTCGCTAGAAGGGTATGGGAGGTAGACACAGGAGAACTAAATGGTCACAGCTCAAGCCACTGTGCACCAGCCGACTGGCTGCTGATCACAGGTCCATCAATCAGCCCAGCTGATACCAGCTGGACCCAGCTGACTTGGAAATTTACAATTTCATTGTTATACTGGCTACTAAGACTTGGGGTGCTTGTTATACAGCAATAGCTAACCAATGCAGCTCCCTTACCTGTAGCTAAAAAGCCTTTCCAAACAACAGCCTGCAGGAAGGGAGGCTGGGTCCTGGGACATGTGCACCCTGAGGAATCACGCTACGCCTCAGAGGCCCTTCTGTGAAGTAGGCCTAAAGAGAGTCAACACGGATTCAGTGGGACAAATTTAGGGGTTGAGAGCTGCTGGGATCCTCTTAAATTCCACTTAGCCCCAGTATTTTAGATTTTACTGGTTTTCATCAAATTGTATAAACAACACACACTCATTATAAAGATAGAGAAACTAGGAAGCTAGAAAGCTAAAAATTACCCTCCATTCTACCCCCTCCTCCTGCTGTTACTCATTCGGTTTTGTTCCCTAGAGAGAACCATTGTTAACAATTAGGTGCATACACTGCCAGATATTTTTCACCATGCACATTCATGAATAAAGGTATGGTTTATTTTAAAAAAGGAAATGATGATAAAGTACCGTTCTGAGACCTGCTTCTTTTCCTTAATGGCCTTCTGACAAGTCTACCTCATTCATTTTAATAGTTGCATAAGATTTCAGGGCATGGATATTCCACAATCTAACCACCTCTGTGATACATGTTTGGAATGCCTTAAATCCTGTTAGTAAAACTGAAGTGAATTTCTTTGTGTATCCCATCTTTGTGCATGAAAGGTGATATTTCTGTGGGATACGCATCTAAAAGTTGAGCTCAGAGCTCACCGCTTTGTAAGCGCTAGGAGTCTTGCTAGCTTTTCATTTGTTACTTATGTTGGCAAAGCATTCTCCAAGAAGAAGGGGTGGTATGAAAATGGGCATCCCCTGCCCCTTCATCAGCTTTGGCTGATAACAATCCTGCACAAACTTTTGCCAATCTGTTGGGGGCAACAAATACTAACTTGTTCGAATTTTTTTTTTTTAATTAGGAGTGAGATTAAAGTAGCTTTACATATCTATTGAAAATTTGCATCTTTTTGGTAAATTGCTTGTTTACATAATTCAGCTATTATCTCTATCAGCTTGTGACTGCTTCGGTATTTTGGTATTTAGTAGAGCAGGTCTTTACAGAGTGTGACTATAAACTCCTTGTTATATGTGCCAGGCCCCAAATTTTCCCAAGTTCACCATGTCTCCCTTCTTTGCCTCATAGAGAAGCTGAGAATGGGGAATGGCTGCACCCTGTATTGGGCCATTTTCCACTACTGAAACAAGGCACCTTGATATCTGGTAAGGAAGAGTTGGCTTTGGTTCACAGTTCTGAAGGTCATTCAAGGGCATGGCGCCAGCACGGCTTAGCACTGGGGAAGAATCTGTGGTGAACACCATCACGTAGACAGCAGCGTGCACAGGCTCTAGGGAGAGATCACAGAGATTGGAAGCCAGCCACTTGTTCAGGACCAAACTCATTCTGTCCTCGCAGCCCTGTCAAGAGAATGAGAGCCCTGGATGACTTGGTTTGCTAAGCTCCACCTCTTAAGGCTCCCACCGCATCTTAGTGTTGTAGGCAGCTGAGTTGGACAGAAATAGTATAGGCAGTCAGGCCAGATTAGGCCCTCAAGGAGCCAGTATGGAAGACAAGGTGACTGCAACTGTAGGAGAGACAGACACCCCTGCTGTGAGCCAGAACTCGAGACAAAAGATCAAACAAATACATACCTCTCTAAGGATAAGTGTCAGGGATTTGGGATGCTAAATAGATCCCTATCAACTTGAAAACGCCAGCAAAAGTCACTAACCCAACCCAAACCCCTACAGGGAAAAAAGTCTTGTTCTGTATTCATATCCGCTTGCTACTTAACTCACTTCCACATTTGACTCTGATTTAATCAATTTTACCTGAGCAATTGTGCTTGTAATCTCATTGGTTGACTATAGTTTTGTCCCACCTCATGTCCCCCTGGCAAGTTCCCTTGTTTACCACGTTGGACCCACCTGTGTCCTGGTTTTACTCTACAAAAATCCCTAGAAAACACAGGCCCCTGGGCAAACCACGTGGCCCCCTTCTGTCCCTCTCTTGAGCAGAGGCTTTCTTTCTCCCAGTGAATATGTTCTGCTCTTTACTTCTGTTGTTTCTAAAATTCATTGTTCAGTTTTAGAGAACATGAACTTGTTCCAGGTACCTTTCAGGTTGGGAGATTCATTCCCCTCTATCATTAGCATTCACAATACGGGGGACCAAAGTACAGTACATAGACCTTGGGGGGGATGCGCTCAAACCATGTGCATACCACACTACACCCCTACTAGCAGCGCTGCCACTGCCGCAGGATACTGAAGTCCCCTCTGGGGTCAGCTTTGCGGATGTCACAGCTGGAGGTCAGGCCAAAGGCATTTGCTCTCCCTTCCCATTGCCTTCCTCTCAGCCCAGCCTGATGTTGACCTGCTGACAGCCCTCTACCTCAAGTACCTGTGGCTTTCAGCTTTCTGCTTCAAGTCTCTCCCCAGAAAGTCTTCTGAGCTTCCTGCAGGACCCCCTACAGTACCCCTAAGAAGTCTGATACCTCGGAGGCCCCCCTCCACCACTCTGGAACAAAAGCCAGAGGGTGCGGTCAGCAGCTCCCCATCTCTGGGGGATTACCCGCAGGCATGTTCTATGATTGCTGGACAGGTCCCTAGTGGGAATGGATTTTGGCCCCCCACTGTGGCTCTTCCCTCTGTGCCTTGTCTTCTCCACTCAGTGTCTTGCAATTCTTGCTGTCAACATCCATGAGAACCACCAGCGGCGATCACATCCACAGGTCACTCAGCAGGAAGGGAAGGCAGAAGGACACAGGCATTCCCTGTATGCTACTTTTCCTCATACCCCATTGACATTTAGTCACATGGCTACTAATAACTGCAAAGAGTGTAGGAACATGTAGGGTTGTTCTTTTTCTTCTGTATTTTTTTAGGGAAGGG